TAATATGGACCTCTATATATAGCTCTAAGGAGCTCTGGTAGCGTAGTGGTTACAAATCGGGCTGCGAACCTTAAGGCCAGCAGTTCGAAACTACCAGCTGCTCCGCGGGAGAAAGATGAGGCATTCTGCTCCCGTAAAGATTTACAGCCTCGGAAACCCTGTACAGGGTCGCTATGGGTCGGAATCGACTCGACGGCACTTAACAACATATAGGAGTTGGACATAAAACAGAATTCTTACCATGACTACTTACATGTACATGCAATTTAAAAAGAAAAATCCCACTGCAAAAGGCACATCCTCATTAGCCATGAGCACGTCAATACTTGAAGTAGTCAACACAATTAGACAAGAAAAATAAAAACATACAAATGAAAAGGGAATACACACACATTATAGCTACACTGAGATGTTGGCAGGATAACTGGACATCAACTAAAAATTCAATACTGGTTATGAAGTTCATTCAAAGAAATGAAGACTCTCATATATGCATACAAGGGTAAGTGAAACAGAATGTCTACAAAATCATAAAATTTTATAAAACATGTAACAAAACTGGAAGCTATTGCTTTTTGAAATAGCCTCCATCTAGCTTTAAGGAGCTCTGGTAGCGTAGTGGTTACGAACTGGGCTGCGAACCTTAAGAACAGCAGTTCGAAACTACCAGCTGCTCCACGGGAGAAAGATGAGGCTTTCTGCTCCCGTAAAGACTTACAGCCTCGAAAACCCTGCACAGGGTCGTTATTAGTCGGTTAGGACTCCACAGCACTTAAACACCACTACCACCATCTAGGTCTATACATGTCTGCAGCCATGGTTTCCATCTCTCCAACCCTCCCCTCCCCCCACAAAGAATTCTGCATGCTTTGACTTAAACCTCATCACAACAACACCTTTTGCATCCACAAGGATCTGAAAATGTGTTCCTAATGGTTTTCCCTTAATGCTTGTTTGAGTTTGGGGAACAAAAAGAAACCTGAATGGAGAAGATCAGCACTGTAGGTGTATGGGGCAAGGTTACCCCAGAAATTCTGATAGGACAGTGTTTGCTACCCTTGAACATTGAGCAGGTGGTGCATTGTCGTGATGGAAAAAAATTCCTTGGTGCAACATTCCTGGTCTTTTTCTCAACAATGTGGTTTTCAATTTACCTAAAAGTTCCTCATAACAAGCCTCTGTGGTCATCCAATGTCTTTTAAGATAACCTATGTAGATTATCCCTTTGAGGTCCTCAAACTATAGCTGGCTCAGCAGATGTCATTGTTATTAAATATCTTTGAGTCAGTTCCAAATCACAGTGACCCTATATAGGGTTTCTTGTATAGTGTTCCGTGGCACATAACCA